CACACAATTGGATCAATTGGTTAAGTTTATGGGTGACGAGCCGTGGCTGACCGGTGACCAGTTGTCGTACGTGGACTTTATGGGCTACGAGCTGTTGGATTGGATCAGACTATTTACGCCTGAGACTGTAGCCAATTACCCGACTATTGGCCACTTTTTGGATAGGTTTGAAGCGCTGCCCGATATTAAACAGTATATGCAGTCCGAGGGGTTCACCCGTTCGCCACTGTTTGGACCGGCGTTTAAGTGGGGTTTCAAGCCATTAGAGTGATTATCATAATCACCCTGGCACAATCTTAAAATGTTTTTGATTGGTATGCTATTTGTTCAAAAAAAAATTAATAGAGTAGTCTAGATCAGGAGCACGCAAAATCACGAAAAAGTTAGGCTTTCCCTCTATGCTCCCATAGACAATACATTACAGTTTACCATCGTTTACCCAGTTTTACCCGCCCTGCGTGGTTATGGTCTAGATTATTTAAATATTGTAAATTGTACTAATTAGTTGATTGTGTTGAGTAATTCTTTGTTGTAATTAACAATGATATAAACTAATATAAATGCAATATTGTAATGTGTAATTTTAAGTATTAATTATTGTTATTTATTTCTGTTTGCAATCAATTTAATTGTAACATGCCACATAATGTACTGTACAGTACAGTGAATGTAATTTTATTATGAGTATTATTAATACCTGTAAGCCTAATTGAAAAATTGTTTGTTATACTTTAATTACCGGTAAATCTAATAAGTCATTAACATATATTTTGAGCTCATCGTATTTTTGAATAACTTTATGCAACACTTTGCCCGATAGCACAGACCAATGCAACACAGCTTAATTTTATAAAATAAGCTTAACATGGGCAATGATAAGTCTACAGATAATGTTATTATTGATATAAATAAATTAATGGAAAGTCAATGCTAATTCTATGGGTAATGTGGATTATGATTAAAGTATAGCATTGCCGTGCTATCATTTAATTTTATGATTAAAATAAAAATATAATTTGTTAATGTCAATGTTTGTAGACTTTGGATATTATGATTAATTTGAGTTAAATGTATGAAATTCTTTGCATTTTAATCAATGTTTCCAATGGTTTTCACTGATTGTATGTAATATTAAAGTTTGAATAAAACCGTTATTAATTACATAGCATAACATATATGGCTCTCGTAACTTGTTTATAATTTTTGTAATTATTTTTATAAATATTAAATTACAAGATTATAAACAATATAAACGGAAACACCCATGATTACTATGGGGGCCACTACTTCATCGCTAAACAATGATTCAGACGGTGGTAGCGAGCGATGCACGGGTGAGCCCAAACAGGTGATCAAAGTGAGTGCTGATCGCCGGTTGGAACTGGATTTAGAAGCATTGGAGGGCATACTATTGCGCGACTCGATCCGTGACAAACCCGTTGTGGTGGTCAGTATTGCCGGTGATTTTCGTAAAGGTCAGTTTATTTTACTTTACAGGGAGTAATAAGATCTAATGTTTTTATAATACGATAATTGTGGTACTAGAGAGTAAAGTACCTTGCTCACTAGTAGCCGATTTAGGTGAAATTATGGTTTTGAATAGTAAATTAGGGTGTATTGTCAGCCAATGGACTGCTTGTATTAACAAGTTGAATATCAATATATGATTATTAAATAATTATAGATCCAAACCTGTATTTTATAATTTATATTGTGCATAATAATTTTTAAATAAAAATTTACTAATAAATTGTCTCAACAATTTTGGTATTTATAGGCAAGTCCTTTATGCTGAACTTTTTCCTGCGATACCTGCAGTCCGGTAGCGGCACAACCGACGACTGGCTCGGCTCGACTGACACACCACTGGAGGGGTTCTCGTGGAGAGGCGGCAGACAACTGGTCACTACAGGTATATTGATGTGGTCGGAGCCGTTTGTTGTCAAACTGGCCGACGGCCAGGAGGTGGCCATCGTTTTGATGGACACTCAGGGAGCGTATGACTCGGAGTACACTGTAAGGCACTCGGCCATTGTGTTCGCGCTATCAACTATGGTTTCGTCTATACAGGGTATGTATGGTGTGTAACAAAAAATGTTTCAGTTGTTTTAAATCGATTATATAGTTTTAATACATGGTACTCATTAGATTTAATAAAATAATTACAAATTCATTTGGTTAAAAATTTTCCATTCTATCAACATATCTTGGATTGCCTAAAATTTTGTCTTATTTACAACCATTTTCAGAAAGTATTCCCCCATAAAAAATATGTGCGCTGATTATATGTCTAATGTTAATTATATTAAATAATTTTCCGTGTATTATTTCAGTGTTCAATCTGATGCACAATCTCCAAGAGAATGACCTCCAGGTGCTAGAATTGTTCACAGATTTTGGCCGACTGGCCCTCACGACTACTGACAAGATACCCTTCCAGAAGCTAATGTTTCTCATACGGGACTGGAGTTTCCCATACGAACACCCGTACGGTCTGACCGGCGGTCAGCAATTTTTGAATGAAAAGTTGATAATCAAGGAGAATCATGCTGAAGAATTAAAGCAAATTCGCCGCCACATCAAATCATGTTTTAGCGATATTGGCTGCTATTTGATGCCACATCCGGGCCTAAAAGTAGCCACTAATGATGGTTTCGACGGCCGATTGGCCGATATAGACGCCGCGTTCGTCGACAATATTAAGACGTTTGTGCCGTTGATATTAGACCCGAACAAAAATAATGTTATCGTGAAAGAAATCGGCGGCCGTCCAATCACTGGCAAACAACTTGTTGATTGTTTCAAAATGTATTTCGATGATTTAACAAGTAGTGTTACTGTCAAATGCCCTCTAGATCAGGAGCACGCAAAATCACGAAAAAGTTAGTCTCAGGCGTAAATAGTCTGATCCAATCCAACAGCTCGTAGCCCATAAAGTCCACGTACGACAACTGGTCACCGGTCAGCCACGGCTCGTCACCCATAAACTTAACCAATTGATCCAATTGTGTGGTCAACGGACCGGCGCTATACTCAGAGCGTTTGGCCGCGTAGTCGTCGGACAACAGTATGGGCACAAAGCCTTGTTTTATATCGTCCAGGTATTGCTCGACCATCGACTGCATGGCCAGCCGGGGCGGGTCGTCGGTGCCGGCCATCAGTCCGTGTTTAGCCGCCAAATAGCGTATAATTGCCAAACTTTGGGTCAGTTTTAGGTCGCCGTCGATATAGTAGGGAAGGTTAGGAAAGTCCAGTCCCAGTGAGAACTTGTCGGCCAGATAGTCATCCCTGTCTATAAACTTGTAGCGCCGGTCTTCAAAGTCCACTCCAATGTAGGCTAATAGTAGACGTATGGGCTGTGCCCGGGCTCTGATGTCCCAATAGGCCAGTACTGGTTTTGATGACATTGTTGTTATTAATAGTAATTTATAATAATGTCACTATTATAATTATTGTAGATTTTTTACTGCGAAATTATTACAAATTCAAAATTTACAGCAATTTTAATCTAATAAATTTTACAGTAGCTAGGTAATTTTATTTTGTTAAATATACATTTATTTTTAGAGAGGTACTGTAGTTTTTATAATTAAACATGTATGTAAAAATAAACCTATTGTATATCTTGTTTGAATGAGGCTTTATTGTATAATATAATAACATAATATTGATCATTATAGAATTTACCAAATGAAACACGAAGGTCAAGTCACGCTATGTAATAATTATTTACCATAAGCAAGACTTGCAAACTTATTATTGCATACTTAAAATGGTATGTTTTTGATATTGAAAATCAATACTAGGTTAGTTTTCTTACAGTTAAAATTAATTATATTAAAAATGCAATATAAATATGCAATACAATGAATATTCAATGCCATATATCATTCTGTATATGGCATTGAGCTGTTTAGTAGCAATCAATTATTTAGTTTTATTTGAATAGGTGAGCTTATTAAATATTATCGTAAACATGTTGATAGTTTATTAAATATTTCATTTAATTTAAAAATGCTATGTCTAAAAATAATAACAATAAAACACAAATAAATATCATAATTCCATATATTGCGTAAAATTATAAAAATAATTTTTGACAATTAATTTTTTATTCTAAATTGATCAATTTAACATGACAATTTTATAAATAGATAACATTTTATAAATGTAATAACATCCAGTGTTGGCAACATCAATAAAAATCTCTATAAAGTTAATACAGCATTTCAATACACATAATTACCCCGTAGTTGTACTTAAGTAATAACCAATGGCTAAACTTTTTCTCTCATCTCTCTCTCCCTCTCTGATGTGGACTTAAACAATGAAAACTGTGCCGAACTCTGGTAGGCCTTAATGGCCGGCAGGGCTTCAAATCTGGCCAAATACTGGCCAAACGTCGGGTATTTGCCGATAGTCTCGGCTATGTTTGCTCTCAACATAAACAGAATATCGTAGGCAAAAAAGTCAACGTAAGACAACTGTCCGCCGGTTAGCCACTGTTTGTCCGCAAAGAACTTGGCCAACAGATCCAACTGCGGCACCACTCGATTGGTCACGTATTCCTGTTTTTTCTCCTGGTAGTCTACCGCTTGAGGAATTTGAACTAGGTCGTTTAAAAAATCTAGTATTTGCTGTTCGCACATGTATTGTATGGCCCGTTGGCTGTCATCGGTGGCCACGAGTCCGTACTTTTGTCCCACATATCGTAATATAGCCATACTTTGGGTCAGTTTTAGGTCGCCGTCAATATAATAGGGTAAGTTTGGAAAATCCAGACCGAGAGTGTTTTTCTCAGACTCCCAGATGCTTTTTTCGGCTTTTGTGTAGATTTTGTCCGTAAACTCTACGCCCGCGTAGACTAATAGGTAGCGTATGGGTTGCGCCCGACCCCTAGTGTCCCAATAGCCCAGTATTGGTGTAGATTCCGTTGACATTGTTGTTTGTTTTGATGTAAAATAAACTTGCTAGATTAACACAACTAAATAAATTCCACGTTTCCCTTAATCACTTACTTTGTCATAACAAATTCTACTCATATATTAATTGTTAAAGTATTTAATTTAGTACTTAATACAAAATGATTTTTTTGCTGATGATAAAATAGTTGCATTCAATAGTAGTAATCAGTGAATCCAATGGAAACATAGATATGAAGGTTTTGTGACATTTATGAATGTCATTTAGCTGGTTTAATAGTAAAGCTTTATAATCACTACACTGTAATGTCTGTACAAATATTGTATAAAAACTGTTATTTGTATATTTGTATGTAAAGATGATGTTAATTGACTTTACACAATAAGATCATGTAAAATAGTATTTACGACAAGTTAATAAAGTATTCTTATCTCGATAATTGCAAAATTCATAAAATTTTTGTTAAATATGTACTAAACTTGCAGTTTATTTAATTTTATAAATAATCATCATTTATGATTATAATTATCTATTTGTAAACAGGTATTATATTATAAGATTGTTAAGGGCACTAACAGTTACATGCACTAAAATGTTTTAGTGCTGAATATGCACAATTTTTAAATGCACATTCTTATGCAAAATGTGCACACTAACTTATGTCAATTAAAAAATAACTAATATTAACATATTTGATTATTAGTATCAGCAAGAAAAAGTACAATTTAAGTTTACAATTTACAATATTTCCGTGTGGTAAATTTTTAGTACAAAAATAACATTTTAGGATTGTTATTATACTAACCAGTAAAGTGATTTCAAATCACTGATTTGACATTGATGTTAACACTTTTGCATGGATGGACTAGTGATGGTCGTTTAAGTGCTATAAATCTATTGGCCTAAAACAATTGTGCTTTTGCAAATAACACAGTTTATACTGTTTGTGATTGTTTTGGTATATAAATACCAACGCATATAAACATAATAAACATTAAGTTATTAACTTTATAATGAACATTTTAGTATAAACATTTAATTTTAAAACAATTTATATTTTAAACAAAATATCTAGTTATTAAAATAATGTCACGTAAACTAAACTTCTTGTTCATCCCGGCCGAACCCGTTGGGCACATGAACGCCGCCACCGGCATAGCACAGGTGCTGATAGGTGCCGGACATCGGACCCAATTCGTGATCACTGCCCAATGGAAGGGACGGCTCACTAAGTATGGCATCGAAGAGGTGCTCATCAGTTTGGAGGACAGGCCCTCAGACGTAGACCCGGCTGAACAGTGGGCCGACATGTTTGTCAATGGGGGCGGCATTAGGGACGCCACGGCTTTACAGAAAGCTATTAACATCCGGACAGTAATGATGGCTGATTTTGGGGCCGGTATTAAACGCCTGGACCCCATTGTGGAGAGACTGTTGGCCACTGAACAGCCAGATGTTATTGTCCTAGATCAGTTTCATTGCCTACCGTCGGTGATTTTGTCGGGCATACCATGGGTGGCCACGTGTAGTTTTAATCCATTGTTTTTCATTTATGATGAACGCACTCCGCCGTACATGTCTGGTATGTAACTCAATATTAGTATTGTTTTATTTTTATAAATTATAAAATAACAATTTAAACTTAATAATGATAGAGTCCTTATTTATTTTTATACTTTCATACATAACTAGTTTAAAAGTTTAAATTTAAATTACGTTACAAGTAAACTAGTTTGTTTTAAAAATGTTTACAAAAACTAACATATTTAATTGAAACGTTTTATAAAATTAGACATAAATTTAAACGTGCTAATAAATATTTTCATTAGGTTTGCCAATAACTGGTCCCAAAAGCGAGTGGCAAACATTCAAAGACGCGGTAACAGCGGTTGAATACCCCTTTTGGCAGGACTTTAACAAATATGTAATGTCTCGGGGCTTACCATCGCTGCCAACACTACGCTATTCAGTTGACTCTCAGTTTCTCAATATATACGGCTTTCCACTGGAGTTGGATTACGTGGACGTCAGGCCATTGCCGCCCAATTGGCACCGATTTGATAACCTTAAACGTACGGACAGGGAGTCAACCTTTGAGATACCGGCGCCGTTGCGGAACAGGTCAGGAAAGTTAATATACTTATCATTGGGATCAATGGGTGCGGCAGATGTCGATAATATGAAGCGATTGGTAAAAATATTGTCCAAATCGCGGCACCGGTTCATTGTGTCCAAAGGGCACAGACATGCAGAGTATGAATTGGCAGATAATATGTGGGGCGAGGGGTCTGTGCCTCAGATACAAGTGTTAGAGTTAGTTGATTTGGTTATAACCCACGGCGGGAACAATACGATCACCGAAACCATATATTTTGGGAAACCTATGATTGTTTTGCCACTATTTGCCGATCAGTTGGATAACGCTCAGAGAATCCACGAGAAAGGGTTTGGTATACGACTCGACGCCTACCAGTGCTCGGAGACTGAGCTCTTGGACTCAATTGAAAGTTTATTAAATAATATGAAAGTGAATGAAAAGTTGGCAAAAATGTCCCAAAGAATACAATCGGATAATAGTATCGCAAAACTGCCGGAAATTATTGAGAAATTAGTGAAGAGTTATAAATTATAAAATGTACAATGTAAACTTATTTCTAAAATTTAACTGTTTTAATTTGCTTTGAAAATATAATAAAATAATTTGAAACTTTTGAATAAAATATACTATTTTCATTGTGGTAGTAAATAAATAAAACTATTAGAATCTATCAATAAATGTAGACTGAACCAAAATTACCAACTTTCACTATTACTTAAATATTTATATGCCATTGTGTTTTATTTAATTACAATATTACATTCTATAATTATTTTATCAAAATTGAATGTTAATCAATATAATTTAATTCTTATTAGGAAAATTTGTTAGATATAGTTGTTATCAAAAGATTAACGCCGATAAAAATTAATCCCTTAAATTCATCACATGATTTAAATGCGAACGTTCATAAAGTCTCTATATAGTTGGACATGTGGCTACACTTGGTTGAACAGCAATGCATTATTATATCATATGACATATTCATTCTTTTAATAAAAATAAATTGTCTAAATATTTGCCGTATAAAAGTGGTCACTACTCCCGAACCCGAGATCCAACGACCAAGTGGACACAATCAACAAAAACCCCTTATCATGCGCTATAACTTCCATATTAAATGGTGACCAGGCCAGTGATGGCCTTACCCTTTCCATTTTTTGCGTAAAGTATTCTTTATGATTAGTGTACAATAATTTACAAAATAAAAATAGTGTACGCTGCTGCCTAATTGTTTACACCTGGTCACTATAATTTTTTTTAGCAAAATATGTACTCTAACATAATTAAGCTCAGAATAAATAATATTATCTTGATATCAGATAACATGTTTGTGCCAATGTTAAAGTGAATCAAACAGTGTACTGTTAACAGCCAATCAACATTGTTTGAGAATATGTTCTGAGAAAGTCCTTTGAGAAGTCCTTTGAGAAGTCCTATCGAAAGGTTCGTATTTATTAATTATTAGTATCAGAAAATAAAAGTACAATTTAAGTTTGGAATTGTTTAGTTATATCCGTGTAATAATTTTTCAGTGCATTTTCAGTACAATAACATTTTAAGATTATTATCGATATATTAACTAGTAAAGTTCTATTGACATTGATGGTTGCACTTTTGCATGTGATGATCGTTTAAGTGCTAAAAATCTGCTAGATGCTTTTGATGTTTTTGTATAAAAACATCAGCGCATCTAATAAACATTAACTTATATATAAGGAAGTGCACACATTTAATTTCAAACACTTTAAAATTCAAATAAAATAACTAGTTATTAAAATAATGTCACGTAAACTAAACTTTCTGTTCATACCATGCGACGCCGTCGGGCACATGAACTCCGCCACCGGTATAGCACAGGTGCTGATAGGGGCCGGACATCGGACCCGATTTGTCATCACTGCTCAGTGGAGGGGACGGCTCACTAAGTATGGCATCGAAGAGGTGATCATCAGTTTGGACGACAGGCCCTCAGATGTAGACCCGGCTGAACAGTGGGCCGACATGTTTGTTAATGGGGGCGGCATTAGGGACGGCACAGTCTTACAGAAAGCCATTAACGTCCGAACAATGACTGATTTTAGCGCCCAAGCTATTAGACTGGACCCGATTGTGGAGAGACTGTTGGCCACTGAACAGCCAGATGTTATTGTATTGGATCAGTTTCGTTGCCTACCGTCGGTGATTTTGTCGGGCATCCCATGGGTGGCCACCTGTAGTTTTAATCCACTGTCTTTCATTCATGATGATCGCACTCCGCCGTACATGTCTGGTATGTAACTTAATATTAGTATTGTTTTATTTTTATATATTATATAATGTAATATTAGATTATGTTTAACGTGTTAAACAAATGCAATAACTTTGCAATAATGTTAAACTAAAACTTAATAATAATATGGTGATTATTTATTTATATATTTTTATACATAACTAGTTTAAAAGTTTGAATTTAAATTACAAGTAAACTAGTTTGTTTGTTTTAAGAATGTTTACAAAAACTAAAATATTATAATTTATAAAGTTAGACATAATTACATATAAATGTGGTAATCAATATTTTCATTAGGTTTGCCAATAACTGGTCCCAAAAGCGAGTGGCAGGCATTCAAAGACGCGGTAACAGCGGTTGAATACCCCTTTTGGCAGGACTTTAACCAATATGTAATGTCTCGGGGCTTACCATCGCTGCCAACTCTACTCTATTTTGTTGACTCGGATTTTCTCAATATATACGGCTTTCCACTGGAGTTGGATTACGTAGACGTCAGGCCATTGCCGCCCAATTGGCACCGATTTGATAACCTTAAGCGTACGGACAGGGAGTCAACCTTTGAGATACCGGCGCCGTTGCGGCACAGGTCGGGAAAGTTGGTATATCTATCATTAGGATCAATGGGTGCGGCAGATGTCGATAATATGAAACGATTGGTGAAAATATTGTCCAAATCTCAGCACAGGTTTATTGTGTCCAAAGGGCACAGACATGCAGAGTATGAATTGGCAGACAATATGTGGGGCGAGAGGTCTGTGCCTCAGATGCAAGTGCTAGAGTTAGTTGATTTGGTTATAACTCACGGCGGGAACAATACTATCACTGAAACTATATATTTTGGGAAACCTATGATTGTTTTGCCTCTATTTGCCGATCAGTGCGATAACGCCCAGAGAGTCCACGAGAAAGGGTTTGGTATACGACTGAACGCCTACCAGTGCTCGGAGACTGAACTCTTGGACTCAATTGAAAGTCTATTAAATAATAAGGAGTTGAATGAAAAGTTGGCGAAATTTTCCCAAAGAATACAATCGGATAATAGTATCGCAAAACTGCCGGAAATTATTGAGAAATTAGTCAACAATTATAAATCATAAAATGCTTTATTAACTAATCACAAGAGACAATTTACTGAATGTTTAAAATAATAAATAAGTGATATTGGTTTATTTTGTATTACAATTTTACATTTCTAAATTATTTTGCATTTAACATGTAAAATGAGCTAATTACTAAAAACACACTTAAACAATTTTTAAAATTGAATAAACAATATAACATTAAAACGTTGATATAAGTAACAAATAATTTAAACCACAAATATATATGTATTGATAGACTTCATAGGATGTTATGGGAAACAAATCATAACAATAGTAACCTATTGTGGGTCCCATTGACAGCCTCTCTATGAATGCAAACACTTTCAACCGATCGCGCAGTGAGAGCACCGGTACGGGAGATGACAGGTATGACATCAATACGGCGTACGGCTTGTGAGCGGCCCGAGTAATCAAAACTTCCCAAATGCCCAAACATACCAAAAATATTAAACAAGATATTATTAAAATAGCATTGATCACACGTGTGGATATATCACTGTCTTTATTATGAACTAGATAAATCATTATTAGTAGACCAGGATTTGCGATGAAATACGTTATAAATATAATGTATTTAAACGTTTTGTTCAGATATTTTGTCTTCAATTCCCAATAATTGTGTTCAACAATAGCTGACATTAATAGCCGTTTATTATTGTATTTAACACTCAATGCTATTCTATGGGATATTTCCAAAAATTTATGTTTTAAGTAATATGCCGTTAAAAGCATTAATATAATTATTGCAACTGATATTGAAATTAATAGGATATTACATATTATAACATGAAAGTCATTTAAAAACATCTGGATCAATCTGAATATTGATGGATGGTCAATATAAACAATATAATATTGATATATTTCATACACGTTTATTGCAAAAATTAAAACATTAGCTAAATATTTAATGAGATATATGTTTGAAAATTTTATAAATTGCTGGCATTTCCAAAACCGTTTATCACTAATTGGATAGCGAAACGAATTATCATGCATTTTATGAAAAAATTTGTATATATACAATGAACATGACAATTCTTGTTTGGTGATCAATATAGCAAAACATAGTATAGTAAGGAATATGCTACATACTACAGCATATAATAATTTTTTGACTTTTAAATGTTTAAAATCAAATAAAAAATTTACTATAAACTCATTGGTGACTATGGACAATAATAAAAATTTCAACACGATAATAAATAACGCAATTTGACCCATAATTACCGCGTATAGCCTCCAGCCGTGACTTATTGGCCGCTCTGTAGTTGTGGTGTTAGTGTTGGCCGACAACACGTATTGCTGGGAATCTCTGTTAACCGTAATGAATGTGTTTCGCATAAAACGCTCAAATTTTTGGCATTCATTTCGCATTTCATTGTTTACAGCATTTTTGCCATTTTCCCGGTTGTTTCCCCTTTTTCTCGGATTGGTTTCCATTGTTGTTAAATATGGTATTTTTATTATAAGTACTTTAATGTATATTTTGATTTAATGAGCCGAACGTGGTATGTTTTACTTAATTTCTTCTGGCTAAATTATTAAACAATTTTTAAATGTATTTAAACTTTATTTATACAACTTTATTTACAGTCTAGTTAAAATTATTTACATATATCTAATATTACTATTGTTGATCAAATATTTCAGTTCTATTCCCTTACAATAAATGCAAGTAAAATTTATACTGTATTTGAATTCATTGAATATTCCTCATGATATATTTAATTTATATTTTAATCTAATTATGTATACGATTGTTATTTAATGAATATATTTTTATTCAAATTGTATTTATTTTATGATAAAATATGCTGAAGATTATAAAATTATTTTCTTAATAATGAATCTAAGTTATAAAATGTAAATATTTTTATATAATAATCATTAAAATTAAAATTTAAAAATATTTTTATCATTAAATTTATAAAATAACTTTATAATAATAAATTTGTTATTGCCATTCTATCAATAATAGCATCAACAATCAATAAAATGTAATGTCCTTATTATACATTATAATTATAAAAGTAACTAATGTTTATTTTTAGTAATATTGAGAAATAAAATAAACTTAAAATTTAACTAAAAAAATTACATTTAATAGCAATATTTACATATTTAGTAAATTATATCTCAAAACTTGACTATTAACATATAACTTAATTAGTGTTATAAAAATACATAAATTTATAAAAGTTCTACCTCTCTCTCTCTCTCTCTCTCTCTCTCTCTCTCAAATGAAAATTAATTTTGTTTGTAACTTACCAGTTAATTTATTCACATTAAGTCTATTGTAACAATAACTGGTTATTAATTTTTATTTCCAGTATTATATTTTTAAATTGTTTAACTTGTAAATATTAAAACTACAATATATCTCACAAGTCAATATCAATTTTTTATATCAAATGTAAATCATGTTTATATTATACTTATCACAATAATAAATTAATTTTATAAAACAAAGTTCTGCGTAAAAAATAAATTATATTTTTAACATGTTGAATAAAAATAAAAATTCTTGACTAAAATCACAATAATTCCATTAGGTATAAATAATTCTATTAATTCTGTAGAGCCTGAAATATAATAACATGTAGCTGACCCACGTAACTCTCAATATACTTGCCTACCCTATAGCTGACAACTCTATTACCCGAATCCTTACTGTAGGCAAAACATTGCCATTTTGTAGGCGGGTATCGGCTGTCCATTTCAACCTTAATGGCGGCCACTGTATCGCCAATACTGTCCGACCGATGGATAACTTCAAACACAATGGCCGTCACCGCCGATACCATCGACGCATTCATATCCGTATACAATATGTTTAGTTTAGGTGCAATTTTATTATGCTTGATCCGGGCCTTTAATATTGTCCAATCCAGCTATTATGCAATAAATAATTATACAGTTAGTTATGTAGTTAATTTATGCAGGTATAAAATTTGTACAATTAATTGGCACAATAAATATAGTGAAAATTACCCTATTGGTGTGAAATATGGTCAATGTAGTCTGGCCAAACTTCACGCACATGTAGTAGCCCACTTCGTGATTGTACCTAGCTCGATTATGACCGTGCGGGTCAATTATACAGTGCCAATCGGTGCCGTACTCGAGCTCCAACTGTTCGCACACGTGTTTACACACAGCGTCTACGCTATTATACGCCATTAATTGTTGCTTAACTATCGACATTGTTTTGTCGGTCATATGTGCCCTCATTTGGCTGTCGAGCCTTAATGGCTCTGACAGGTGTCGCCTACACTCGGCCAGTATTTGGCTATCAGGTAGTGCTGGCACTGCCTGACCATCACCATTACCATCATGATCATTAGTAGTAATGTTTAGTGACTCAACACGTGAAAGTAACTTGTTAAACTTGCCGGGCTTTGATAACGATCTAGCCCCATCGCTAGTATTACCACGATCATTTTGTAACGATCGGTAGGCCGTTTTTAACACCTCGTTCTGTGACATTATTTGCCGATTCTGTTTGAGCAACGCGTCGATACAGTTGTGTCCCGACGTGCGCTCGCACTGACACTTTAAACACTTGGAGTTATTGTAGCGACAGATGACTGTATGACTGGTCAGACTTTCCAGTTTGACTACTTCGCAGCAACCGATGTCCCAGAAGTCACAGCGTATTTTAAACCGGCCTAAAGTGTTCATCATCACTCTAATTCATCATGTTAGAATTAAAATTAGTTAATTTTAAAAAGCTATAATTAAATTTATTTATTAAAAATTACACTAACCTTGGTGGTCGGGACAACTTATCCCTCGACAATGGTTTCCTATCATAAGGACAGCTATTGTTTGTCTGAAGCCATTGAGTGATACAGTCCTCACAAAATGTCTGTAAACAACAGGTTGTGGTGACCGGAGTGTTGAATATCTCCTGACATATACTACACGTGTATTCGTCCCGATCTTCGGCCGACAGATCGGGGAACCGATCGCTATTATAACCGGGCATTTGACCAGAATTTATGCTTTTAGTGATTTATTTTAATATAAAATTAAACAACAATTGTTTATGAATAACAATAATAATTGCATTCAATGACAATAATCAGTGAATCCAATGGAAACTCTAGATATGATTATCTCAATAATCGACGTAAACATCGTGTAATAAGCAATTAATTATTAAATTACAATTATATTATTAAGTTCACAGTAATCACAATAAATGTAAAATTAAATAAATAGTATTTTTTTATTTTAACTAAACCAATTTTGCAAGACAAAATTTTATACAGAAATTAATACAAAATTCAATTGAACATAATTAATTAATTCAACATTATACAAAAATTTATATAATAAAAAATTCACAAACAAAATTAGTATAGAATTATTATTATTTAAAAAATAACAATCCAATTCTCATTACAATGATAAGTTTATAATTATAAAAATATCAAAAACCTTTATCAAATATCTTTATAAAAATAAAACAAAACAAATAACAAACCAAAAATAATTAAAAAATCCGATGCACTCAACACAGCCCGTGTAATAAATGCCATAATAATGTTAAACCAACCACTAAACCGGGCCATCACATCCATATTACTACCATGATCAGGGTGGTGGTTAACTTTTAACGCCTCGTTCTCAATCATTAATTTGTTAATTAATTCCCGTAACGCTTGTATACAGTCGTGTCCCGACGTCTGTTCGCACCGGCATTTCGCGCATTTTGTCGGATCGTAGGCACAGTTGACTACATGTCGGGCCAAGTCCTCCAGTTTGTTCACTTCGCGGCACCCGTTGTCCCAAAAGTCGCACTGTATCTTAAACCGGCCCAATGTGTTTACCATCACTCTAAAATGATCATGGCGATAAAGTTTGAATTATTATCAATTAAGTGTAGCTGTCATAAGCAAACATTTATTTCCATAGGATTAATATTAATTCTTGGATAACATTAGCCCAGGTAAGGCTGTAGCATTACTCTAAATCAGGTACAGCCACAGATAGCACTCAGATAGCACTAATGCATTAAAACTAATGTAAAGTCTATGGGTGTATATAGGCAAAGCCTACTTTTGGCTGTTAATGCTCTAAATCATAAAGGTTCAACTTATAAACTAGGTTGTACTGTACAATGTAACGTGTAGGTTAAGTAATTGTTACATAACTATCATACTGTATAAGGTTATAATTTGACATTTAAAAATTATTTATAAAGTATATTGCTCAATATTGTTATTATTGGTAATGAATAAACAATAATAATATAAATTAAACTAACCTAGGTGCCTGGGACAATTTACTCGCTGTCAATGGTTTCCTATCATAAGGACACGTCCTGTTAGTCTGAAGCCATGCAGTGATACAGTCCTCGCAAAATGTCTGCAGACAACAGGTTGTACTGACCGGACAGTGAAATATTTCGTGACATATACTACACGTGTATTCGTCCCGATCTTCGGCCGACAGGTCGGGGAACCGATCGATACTATAGCCCGGCATTTGTCACCACTGATTGTGTTGTATATCACTTAACTCAATAACCAATATGTTTTTGTTATTGTGATAATTCAATAATTAAATAGCAATAATAATAATGAGCAGTGAAACTAATAGTAACATGGATGTTTTAATAACACATTTAACTCACATTGAATATGTTATTGATAAATGTCATAAATCCAGGTGAATATTTAATTGAAAATCAGGTGACAATTAAAACCAACATGATATATAATGATAATGTTTTTTCCATGTGATTGAGGTAAATATACGAAAATTGCAACATTAAACTTTAAAGCAAAATAAACGCTCCATCTGTGAGACACTACTATTGAATACTTTAATACAGTTTATGATATATAATGATAATGTTTTTTCCATGTGATTGAGGTAAATATACGAAAATTGCAACATTAAACTTTAAAGCAAAATAAACGCTCCATCTGTGAGACACTACTATTGAATACTTTAATACAGTTAACTCTATTCAACAAGTTAAAGGACTAACAAATTGATAAGTTAACAAGTTATGCTAAAAAAGTTTATTTTAAGTTTATTTTAAGTTTAATTTTGCACTTTTTAATATAATTTTTACAGTAATTTTTTATTAAACACATATTTATTAATTTAAAAAAATAAATGTATAAAAAATTAACATAGTTATTAAAATTATATTTTTAAAGTTAATACAGTGAAACTTCTATGTTATCAACAAATACAATATTAGCTATATTTCATTTTATATTACCAAGTCGATATAAAATTATTAATAATGAAAAACTGAATTTTCAGTTATATTTAATGATTTTAAAATTGAATTAAAAACAGAATAATTATAAAATGTGTCCTGTATATATCCTATTTCTTAGTACCTATAAATTTTGACAAAAAGTTCTCTACTCCAGTAGCGGAGTTGGCCACCCTACGCTCCCATCGCTCTCGATGCCTATCACCACGTGTTTGGCCACTTGTTGGGGCATTTTCTAGTATAGGGCAAGTATACGCACCGCTATTACCTCTACCACGACCTCTGCTATTATCTCTACCACTACCTCGGTCATTATCTCTATCTCTACCACGATGATGATGGCGGTGACCACGATGATGGTCAGTTGGCGCCACTTGTGGCCCCCGCGTTGACACTACAGGTACCGACGGATGTGGCCATTGTGTTGCTGGTAGTCTATAGACAGAACTAGCACCACCATAACCATAACCTTGATGATTGTAATCTGTAGGTAACCCATTTATTTTAACCGATGAAACTACAGGTGCCGACGGGTATTGCCCTTGTAGTCCTGGTGGTCTATAGAACGAACTAGCACTATTATTACCTTGATAATGATAATCTGTAGGTAAAACATTTTTATCATCCGTGGGTACTACAGGTGCCGACGGGTGTCCCTCCTGTAGTTTATGGACCCCATTACTCTTATACTGATAATAATGATCTACATCTGCATCAGGCGTTGACACTACAGGTGCTGATGGTTGTCCACCTTGTACTGTATGGCTAGAATTACCATCACCATTACCACGATAATTATGATCTGGGGGTAAAACATTTGTTTCAACCGTTGCCACTACAGGTGCCGATGAGTTTGTATGGACACAACTATCATTGTACTGATGATAATAATCTATTGGCAAAACATCCGCTTCAGTCGTTGACACTACAGGTGCCGACGGGTGTTCCTCTAGTGCTGTATGCTCATCACCACCAATACTACGATCATGGTCATTTTTTAACGACAAATTAGCTATTTTTAGCATCTCGTTCTCTGCCATTAGTTTGCTGTTTAATTCCAGTAACGCTGCGATACAGTCGTGTCCCGGTGTCTGTTTGCACTGGCATTTATTGCATTTAACGTCATTATAGCGACAGTTGGCCGTATGGTGTGACAGGTCCTCCAGTTTGATCAAATCGTGGCACCCGTTGTCCCAATAATCGCACTGTATTTTGAACCTGCCCAATGTGTTTACCATCACTCTAAAACATTATGATAGGTTATTTAGAAATTAGCATAAGTTAAATGTTATTTTAAATAATATTTATAACTTTTAATTTTTTTAAATCATAATCCATTAGGAAATATAAAAATTAATTTACTATTAATTATTATTATATAATAAACTATATTTAATAAAGATATTTTTAATAAAGATAATAATTTATTAACTATTATTAATAAAGATAGTAATTTATTGTTATTATGTTTTTATAGCAGTATTTTATTGTCAATAAGGTGCAGTGTATAAGAGCATGATTAAACAAATTATATTTACCTTGGTGCTCGCGATAGCTGGTCACTCGTTAATGGTTTCCTATCGTAAGGACAGGTAGTGTTTTTCTGAAGCCATTCATTAATACAGTGCTCGCAAAATGTCTGTAAACAACAGGTTGTGGTGACCGGAGTGTTGAATATCTCCTGACATATAC